CTGTCTAACGCCAGCTAATTCAAATGGCGGCGGTCTGTAAATTATCGAGTTTGGACAAGACAATCAAGTGGTCAACAACATGAGCATCGATCTACGCTGTTGGGATACAATGACATATTACGTATAAACTCGACACTGAGCAGCAAGAGCAGCGGCGTTGAAGATTATATCTAAGATTATGATTGGGTGGTTTGTTGTTTAACGCCACACTCAGCAATGATCCAGCAATATGGCTGCGGTCTGTAAATAATCGAGTCTGGACTAGAGAACCCAGTGATCAACAGCATGAGCATCGATCTACGCAATTGGGATACGATGACATGTGTCAACAAAGTCAGCGAACCTCGCCACCCGATCTCGTTAGACGCCTCTTACGACAAGCATGGGTTACTGAAGATCAATTCTTACTCGGATCTTCACGGGTAATAGAGAAACAAACCTACAACACTTGAAGAAGGTTTTTTTCATTCATGTGACCTTTGTTGTGTTTACCATTGTGTTACGTGCGAAAGTGAAGCTGTTCATTTTTGGAGGAATATGATGTGTATGTTCGTTTGTTGTTTACGCCGCACTCAGCAATATGCTAGCTATATTTATGGCGGTGGTCTGTAAATAACTGAGATAAACATCACGAGCATTGACCTATGCAGTCGATCAGGTCACGACACGCATCTGGGGCGGTGGGGTAGCCTAGTGGTTAAAGCGTTGGCTCGTCACGCCGAAGACCCGGGTTCGAATCCCCACATGGGCACATTGTGTGAAGCCCATTTCTGGTGTCCCCCGCCGTGATATTGCTGGAATATTGCTAAAAGCGGCGTAAAACCATACTCACTCACTCACTCACTCACGACAAGCATCTGTCCCGGATCTTCACGGGTAGTATAATATGACGATTAGAGTGAGTGAGTATGGTTTTATGTCACTTACAGCAATATTCCAGCAATATCACGACGGGATATACCAGAAATGGGCTTCACACACTGTACCAATGTGGGAAATCGAACCAGGGTCTTCAGTGTGACGAGCGAACGCTTTAACCATTTGGCTTCCCGACCGTCCCTATGGCGATTACAGCTTTTGTTAACTCACATAAACAATACACGCATGGCAGGACAAACATTGACTAACACACCACAAAACAAATCAGTTTGTGCAACTGAAGAAGGTAGAACAGCTCACATCGCAAATATTTGTATAGAGGGTTGTTTACGGAGTACGGGGTGTGTTACGTTGGGTTCTCCTTATTTCGCTATTGTACAGCGCTGGTGAAGCAGAAACTACCAGACAGCTACGATATACGTGGCGTGTAATTAACAACTCCCCCCCCCCCACCCACACACACACACACACACTTAAGGAGATTGTGTTGTACTGAGTAACCAGTGTCATAAGTAAGTACCGTTAGTTTAAGATGAACACTAGTTTGAAGATATGTCTGTGACGTGATCTCGTTTCTGCTTCATGTTCCTCGGGTTATTCAGCTTGTAGACGTTTAAGGCGGTGTGGTTCCGACAAGTTTATGCAGCTGGGATTCGAACCTTTTACAAGGAGGCCTTCACATACAAGGGAGGTAACTCTTTATTGCACGTGCTATGTTCCATATATATTTTTGTCACGTCATGAAAAATAGCAAAATGCCCCAAATAAATTTCAAAGTAACTTTATTGACAAGCCGCCAAATAGCTGGAATATTGCTGAGTGCGGCGTAAAACTAAACTCACACACTCACTTTACTGACAAACAAAAGCCTATTTTTGTAGAGGAGGTGTTTGGGACTGGATGGGGTGAGGTGGGAAATACGAAGACTTGGTGTCGGTTATGTTTGGGTTAAGAAAATGCTAGCACTTAATTCAAGAACCATGTGAATATACTTATTATGGGTTATATATATTTGCTGTACACGACAACGTGTTCACTATGCTTCATAAAACGTGAGGGACGGGTACGGGTAGGGTGTGTTGGGGGAGGGCTATGACCGCCAGCAGACAAACTCCAACCCCCCATCCCCGTTGTCCGGATCACCAGACTAAAAGGATATTATTGTGCGCCTTCATAAACATATAGTACAGTGTACGAGACAGGATCAGCTACCTGTAATTGTTCCTACTTGACAGGTGATCAAACCCGTGTATTCCCGTGTATTTGGTGGTATTGTATAACTTACAACCCTGGGGTACTGCTGGATCCGATACATGATCTGCAGCTGTAACAACTGTTACAGCTGGCTTTCCTCTTACGGCGTAAGTGGACGTTTTATGACAACATGTACAACGTACAACAAATCATTATTAGTACACAAGAAGCTTCATCGTTTGATGTTTTAATGTGAAATTGTTGCAATCATTTCAGGATCTAGTGAGTGGAGGGACAGCGCTCGAGCAGTCTCGAAGCCTTATAGCAAGCTATAGTCTGTCGTACAGATCCTGAAGTAAATATATCCATAAAAGCCCACGCAAGTCTAGAAAATGTGGCAAGTCTAGATTTCCTCAGCTTCAGGGCTCCTTTTCATTATTTTTTTTTTTTTTTACTATGAACTTTTTTTCAGTAAAATATGTTCATTTCAGAGACTAGTTGTTAGTCTAGCAAGCTTACAGCAGGGGCGGAATCAACCTGGAAAATGAGGTTTCTTTATTAGGAATCTTAATTAAACTCCCGAATACCATCTGGCTGTTTTTGTTCCTGAATACTAGTTAAAGCACGTGTCAAAAACATTTATAGAAGGTGCAGTATAAGTTAAGCTGTAATATGGAAAAATATGGTATATTAAAAGACCATTACTTTTTAATGTTGGATCTTTCTGTACGAAATACGACTTTCTATGCGTCCGGCCAAACACTGTCACAAAAAACTAGTGGTAGGGTAGCCTAGTGGTGAAAGCCTCCGCTCGTCACGCAAAAGACCCGGTTCGATTCCCCACATGGGTGAAGCTTATTTCTCATGTCCCTCGCCCAGTGTAATGTTGCTGAAAGCGGCGTAAAACCATACTCACTCACTCACCGAAAACACGAGTTCCATATATAGTTTTGAGGGACGGGTACGGGTAGGGTAGGTGTGTTGGGGAGGGCTATGACCGCCAGCAGACAAACTCCCACCCCCATCCCCGTTGTCCGGATCACCAGACTAAAAGGATATTATTGTGCGCCTTCATAAACATATAGTACAGTGTACGAGACAGGATCAGCTACCTGTAATTGTTCCTACTTGACAGGTGATCAAACCCGTGTATTCCCGTGTATTTGGTGGTATTGTATAACTTACAACCCTGGGGTACTGCTGGATCCGATACATGATCTGCAGCTGTAACAACTGTTACAGCTGGCTTTCCTCTTACGGCGTAAGTGGACGTTTTATGACAACATGTGTACAACGTACAACAAATCATTATTAGTACACAAGAAGCTTCATCGTTTGATGTTTTAATGTGAAATTGTTGCAATCATTTCAGGATCTAGTGAGTGGAGGGACAGCGCTCGAGCAGTCTCGAAGCCTTATAGCAAGCTATAGTCTGTCGTACAGATCCTGAAGTAAATATATCCATAAAAGCCCACGCAAGTCTAGAAAATGTGGCAAGTCTAGATTTCAGCTTCAGGGCTCCTTTTCATTATTTTTTTATTTTTACTATGAACTTTTTCAGTAAAATATGTTCATTTCAGAGACTAGTTGTTAGTCTAGCAAGCTTACAGCAGGGGCGGAATCAACCTGGAAAATGAGGTTTCTTTATTAGGAATCTTAATTAAACTCCCGAATACCATCTGGCTGTTTTTGTTCCTGAATACTAGTTAAAGCACGTGTCAAAAACATTTATAGAAGGTGCAGTATAAGTTAAGCTGTAATATGGAAAAATATGGTATATTAAAAGACCATTACTTTTTTAATGTTGGATCTTTCTGTACGAAATACGACTTTCTATGCGTCCGGCCAAACACTGTCACAAAAAAACTAGTGGTAGGGTAGCCTAGTGGTGAAAGCCTCCGCTCGTCACGCAAAAGACCCGGGTTCGATTCCCCACATGGGTGAAGCTTATTTCTCATGTCCCTCGCCCAGTGTAATGTTGCTGAAAGCGGCGTAAAACCATACTCACTCACTCACCGAAAACACGAGTTCCATATATAGTTTGTTGGCAACCTCTTATATCACTCGGGCCGGTGGGGTAGCCTAGTGGTTAAAGCGTTCGCTCGTCACGCTAAAGACTCGGGTTCGATTCCCCACGTGGGTAAAGCGTATTTCTCATGTCCCTCTCCCATTGTAATATTGCTGAAAGCGGCGTTAAACCATACTCACTCACTCACTCACCGAAAACACGAGTACCATATATAGTTTGTTGGCAACCTCTTATATCACTCAAAAGACGTAAAGGTGGAATGACCGATTATGTCACATTGCTACAGTTAATCTCTCAAGCAAGAGCACATATCAGTCAGTAGACACACATCCGCACTGATTCAGCAACCCATGCTTGCACAAAAGGCGACTATGCTTGTCGTAAGAGGCGACTAACGGGATCGGGTGGTCAGGCTCGCTGACTTGGTTGACAAATGTCATCGGTTCCCAATTGCGCAGATCGATGCTCATGCTGTTGATCACTGGATTGTCTGGTCCAGACTCGATTATTTACAGACCGCCGCCATATAGCTGTAATATTGCTGTGTGCGGCGTAAAACTAAACCCACTCACTCACTCACATCCGCACTGAACGCTACAGACCAGATTTCCTGAAGGTCAAACACGTTACATCATATCACTGATATATGGCTGACTCGACATGTGACATCTGGCGTTTTGTAAATCCCTCTGTACGTTTCACCACTGGGTGTGCACGTTTGTAAGATCCATGTCAAACAAGCTCCCAACCACTCTCTGTAACATGAGACGAGACTCTCATTCACAACCACCCAAGGGTGAAGACGCGGTTTACGACATATTGGGTTAACGTATGGGCGACATGTTGCAAAGGGACAACCATCGGGTGAAGGGACGCTAAAAATAGAAACATGGAAATTCCACCGAAACCGATGTAGCAAGAAAGCCTGGGGGGGTCATGTGATGATTATAATTCAGAGTATTATTACAGGTGAAAACACATGTATTTGTGTCATCTTGTGTTGATAAGAGGTGTGATTGTAGTCCAACTGAGACACAGTCCGATGAGATGGTATGGTTCCAAGATCATGGAAGGCTAAGAGTGATCGATGACAAAATGGCGGAGGTAAGAATTGAATTCGCAAAGCTTTCAAAGCGGACATGATGGCGTGATGAGGATAAGTCCTGTCTTGTGACATCAGCCAGTGAGGACTGGGAGGAGGGTACAGTCGGATACTTCCTCGGGGTACAGTCAATGGGCGACATTGCGACAGCTAACCAGGATTCAGTGTACAAAAATGTATTCCGAATCGTAGATCGATAAAATAAGGGACACAACTCCAACACACTGAAGCGTTGTTCTAGGGGATTCTACTACTACTACTACTACTACTACTACTACTACTACTACTACTACTACTACTACTATTGTTACTTCCGGTGTTGGTACAAGTGGCATTTCCTTGTAAAATTTAGGCGACTAACGAGGTCAGGTGGTCAGACTTGCTGCCGTGGTTGGTGCTTGTCATCGTATCATAATTACACAGTGGGCTACTAATATCTCTGCTACTACTACTACTACTACTACTACTACTTACTACTACTACTACTACTACTACTACTACTACTACTACTACTACTACTACTACTACTACTACTACTACTACTACTACTACTACTACTACTACTACTAGTACTTCTACTACTACTACTACTACTACTACTACTACTACTACTACTTACTACTACTACTACTACTACTTCTACTACTACTACTACTACTACTACTATGGCAACGATAAGAAACACTCCCTTGTAGCTGTGTCTTTTGACATTTTCATGGAAATTGGAAATGAAGTTCTTGCAGGTGAAGTAAATGAGCCATAAATCCTTAAGAAACACTACCTCTCACGTCATTTGTGTGTTGTTTTCTGAAGACAGAAGACAAACTGAAAAACAACAACATTTTTGCGTGGAAATAGTTTAGATTTTTCGAAACATATCCCAAAACAATGCAACTATTTTACGGTAAGATATGCATCATGAACTGTTTTGATAACACGAGAAAGGGAATGTCATGAGTAACAGCAAATGTACAAAATCTAAAGCGAGTATCTCACCTACAGTAATATTTAAAGGTCACATGCAACGTAAAACCAGGGATACTCTACAACATATATAGTCTCCCTGGTAAAACACAACTTTGCAGATTCTGATACTTAAAAGCAATGTCATTATTTAGCGTTGACAGAATTTCAAACTGTGATATAGATATGTCGTTGTCACAGACAAAACTCAATGTCTGTTTTATTGACACCTATGTGTCTGCCCGCCTGTCTGCTAATGACAATATTCAATACACAACTTCGATCACTGACCACATGCAATTTGAACATAACACCTATCAGGCTTATACACCATAAAAAAATCGCATAGATTTATGACCCGAGTTCGGTCTCTGTCACATTATGTAATTACACAGACAGGCAGGTGTGATACTTGAACACATGACATGTTATGATGTCTGTTGATTGCAAAATGTTATACACAAAAAATGAGCTTGTATTTACAAAACCCAACATCTCTATATACACACACACAATGAGCCGTGAGGGCATCTGCAAATGAACCATCCGTTACACTTGAGTGCACACCCTCCCGCTCTGACTGGGTTCGGTATCCCGGGTGCTTCGTTTCTTCGGAAGTAAACCCAAGTACAAAATATTGCACTTTTGATTTGCGATTGTACGCTTATAATTTTGTTTATATGTTTTTTCACAATGAGCAATGTATATTATATGTCATGAATAAGTGATAATTGTGTTTTAATTATGTTTGATTTTTTGGTTGCATGTGACCTATAACCATTGTATCATGTATATCGAATAATATGTCCCGACTTTTTTATTTTTAAAGGCCGACTCGTATCATGCTGAAATCTGAAGATGGCGTGCTGAGCCCGAAGGTGTCGGATTGTTGATTTGCCACTGTACCATTCGAAGTTGGAAGAAGAGACAGCCAACATGGACTGTATACAGAGGGAAGCTCTACAAGAACTCCACTTGAAATTGATGGATGATCTCGATCCCTGGGAAATAATGATAGACTTCTTGTTTCAGAGGAAGTGTTTAAATTCGGCGAATGTCGATAGGCTCGAAAGTATTCGAGATAAAAGAACATGCCGACGATACTTCCTTGAACTAGTTCCCAAGAAGTGTTCATTTTCAACATTTATTGAAGGTCTGATGTACAAAGAGTATCATACACATTTAGCGGAACTGATTAAAACGAAGGTCCTTGACATACACAGCAGAACAAAGTCCGGTGACACCAACGAAGACGAGTCTTTGCTTCTTGACGGAAGAGTTGCGCGCGGACGTAAGAGAAGACAGCTAGATAAAGTGACCAATAGAAAGAGATTACGGGATGAGCCGCAAGATCATAATATTGAGAACACCGAGGCCGTAAAAACGGTTTTCCTTGAACAAGCCCCAGAAGGTGAACTTGAAGGAAGAGGCATCGAACAAGCTGGCCTTGAACGTGTATCAGATAAATGTTTACTCTGTCCAATGTGCAAAAAACCAAATCGTATCAACATTGTTGACAATGAAAAGAAGAGGATAGTTCGAATACAGCATCATCTTAAAGTGTTGTCCCACGATGGTGCAGTTGGGAAGTTTGATAGATTCATCAAAGCAATGTCCAAACGACATAAAAAGAACCCTGATATCAAATTTGCTCTTCTGGATGCGATAGTCGGTCGGAAAAAGGTGTCAAACAGAATAGTTCCCGACGAAGACGTGTTCCTTAAAATGGAAAAGACAATTCCATATACCACTAACCCTTTAGCAGCCAGCATGCTTTACCTATCAAGAAAGGGGTCGGCTATTGCCACTAGGAAGCCTATAGAGGATGGGTTAAAAGAGTTAAACGTCGCAAAGTCCCATTCCGAGTTTATCCAACCATGTAAAGACACTGGGATGGTGTTATATATAGAGGTCAACCTTCTCATGCAGCTGTTTGAAAAGACTCCAACTCCGGACCTGAAAATGAAAATAATTAGAAGACTCGATGAAGCCATCAATGTCCACTTCGCTGAGGAAGTGCCGGAGGTGCGAGAGGACTATACGAGGATGTTGTATCTCAAAATGGTTTTCTGTTACCTTGGAATCCGCGTGGATGCTGGGACAATAACGGATTACACACCAAGCGTGGAAGATATTCAGAATGCCGAATCTTGCCTTACTTTGATTGACAGACTCCCGGCGTTGTTGGACAAAAGAAGACTGATGTTCTACCACGTGGCAAAGTCCGTGTTGTTCAAATATAGGGGCGTCCTTGACCTTGCGCTGGACCACGTGAACGCTGCAGTAGTCAAAGCAAACGAGGGACAGTTTGAGAAGGAACACTCGTGCATCAAACACCTTGCTGACAATGTCAGAGAGTTTATCCGGGACAGTGGGGTGAAGCAGGATGAACGAGGGGAAGCCTTGCTGCGGGAGCTCGAGGAGGACGTCCAGGAAGAGGAGGTGCGAGAGATGTCCTCAGATGAGGATGACATAATGTTACCTTCTTGATACATAAGGGTGGTGGGGTAGCCTAGTGGTTAGAGCGTTCGCTCGTCACGCCCAAGAACCGGGTTCAATTCCCCACATGGGTACAATATGTGAAGCCAATTTCTTGTGTCCCCTGGCGAAATAACACTGAAAACGGCGTAAAAATAATTAAACTCTCTCCTAAGAAGGGACTCTGAAAGAAACGTGCATTTAGAAACCTGTTCCTATTCTCTTGTAATCCATTTTGGCATCCATAATGATGATCAAGTTATGATTCCAACTGGTTGGAGTCAGCTCTCTATATTGTGGTCGATATTTTTAACTCTGAAGCATTTGAAGCGCTGTATATAATACCACTATTTATATAATATTGGGAGCCACACACATGTGCATGACATAGCATAATGGATGTGAATGATGTCAAAGTAAGATGATCTCAAAGATGATGAAGTTTGTTTAATTGATACACTTATGTTAGTGTACTGTTTCTACATTATCAAAATGTGTTACACATATTCATGTTGAAAATCAGAACATATTGAAAATTGGAACATGTTTTGAATTGAACATGTTCACGGGTCAAGATTCAGTTTTAAGGATAATATTACATGGGTGAAGTCGGTCACGGATGGGCACACAACCCTAATGTGTTCCAACCGGACAGCACCAAAAATACCTAGTTAAAACATGTCATTTCAATTTGATATTTCTGTAAACTCGATGACCCTGTCTGCATCCGTATTTACCAAGACACATTTCAACCGTAAGCATTTCGGTAATCCAGCAGTTTATACATAAATAAAGTTGTATTAAAAAGATGATTTCCTAATAACAAATCTGTGTATGAATGATAACGTAATGAGCTTCGTGAGGTCATTGTACCCCTCTGATCAATGTCTTTTTTTGCTATGCAAAATTTCCACCTCATTATGAAACTGTCCTCAAGGTTCTTCCAAATGAAATACTGTCTGGGGGGCTTGAGACCTATCTCAGTCCCTCGCCTATCCAATGTCCTCTTTATAATCTAATTTGCTGATTGGTGAGACAGATGAAATGTTACAGTATTTCTGTTAGGATTTACACTCTAAACAGGTTTAGTTACAGTATGTATTACAACAACAAACGTCTTGCCAGCGTAATGTAATATTCTGAAGCAATATCAACATTTGTTATATACTAGTACTTCCGTGTTAAAGGTTTCGAGTGAGCTGAACTTGTTCTCAATGTAATTTTCTTTCTTTGAAAAAGACCATCGTTATATTTTTGTATTCACGTAAGCATTGTATTCACGGGCAATATTAAATGGTTTCTACTCATATGTAAACGTGGCCTGTTATGTTTTAGTCTCTTGTCCTGGTGTTTGATTGGCAGGTCACCATCAACATGATGGCGGACTCTATATAATCGAGTCCGGACCAGACAGGTGTTTGATTGGCAGGTCAACATCAACATGATGGCGGACTCTATATAATCGAGTCCGGACCAGACAGGTGTTTGATTGGCAGGTCACCATCAACATGATGGCGGACTCTATATAATCGAGTCCGGACCAGACAGGTGTTTGATTGGCAGGTCACCATCAACATGATGGCGGACTCTATATAATCGAGTCCGGACCAGACAGGTGTTTGATTGGCAGGTCACCATCAACATGATGGCGGACTCTATATAATCGAGTCCGACCAGACAGGTGTTTGATTGGCAGGTCACCATCAACATGATGGCGGACTCATATGATCGAGTCCGACCAGACAGGTGTTTGATTGGCAGGTCAACATCAATAATCGATGATGGCGGACTCTATATAATCGAGTCCGGACCAGACAGGTGTTTGATTGGCAGGTCATCATCAACATGATGGCGGACTCTATATAATCGAGTCCGGCAGACAGGTGTTTGATTGGCAGGTCACCATCAACATGATGGCGGACTCTATATAATCGAGTCGGACCAGACAGGTGTTTGATTGGCCACCATCAACATCATGGCGGACTCTATGAGTCCGGTCAGACAGGTGTGTTTGATTGGCGGTCACCATCAACGCATGTCACCATCAACATGATGGTTTGATTGACAGGTCATCATCAACATGATGGCAGACTCCTATAATCGAGTCCGGACCAGAAAGGTGATGTTGATTGGCAAGACGGACTCTATTGAGTTGTTTGATCGAGAGTCCGACCAGACGGGTGTTTTGTTGATTGGCGGGTCGTGTTTGATTGGCAGGCCGGACACGTCAACATCACCGATGTTTGATTGGCGGACTCTACAGGTATAATCGAGTCCGGACCAGACGGGTGTTTGATTGGCAGGTCACCATCAACATGATGGCGGACTCTATATAATCGAGTCCGACCAGACAGGTGTTTGATTGGCAGGTCACCATCAACATGATGGCGGACTCTATATAATCGAGTCCGGACCAGACAGGTGTTTGATTGGCAGGTCACCATCAACATGATGGCGGACTCTATATGATCGAGTCCGGACCAGACAGGTGTTTGATTGGCAGGTCACCATCAACATGATGGCGGACTCTATATGATCGAGTCCGGACCAGACAGGTGTTTGATTGGCAGGTCATCATCAACATGATGGCGGACTCTATATAATCGAGTCGGGTCAGACAGGTGTTTGATTGGCAGGTCACCATCAACATGATGGCGGAATCTGTATAATCGAGTCCGGACCAGACAGGACATGTCAATGATCTATATCGTGAGCATCGATCTCCGTAACTGGAGCTCATGAAATGCATCGACCAAACCTGGGATAATTCAAGGAAACTAAATGAGTTTTCATCTACTGATGCAAGACCAGACATGTTATATAACTTAAAACCACGAGCCAACATATTCATTTCAAAAATATATTGAGACAACATATTGTTTTGCAGACAATACATTTGTACAATAATAATTGTTTTCAAGCACTTTGTGGAACAATATATTAATAAATCGATAAAATTTCATGAAAATATTAGATTAATTATCACATTATTAATTCTTTTATCTATTTTATGCTAATAACACATAACTGTTATATGTCTGTCAGTATCGACGCTACGTGTTTTTAACGAGTGTGTTGAAATAATTGTCTGTAGTTACAGTGACACTCCAAATAAAAATTCCTCAATTACAAATAACATAATGCTGAAATTAAATACTAGGCACAACTACGAAAGGCAGCTGTCAAGGCAGCTTGACACAATATGTGTACGACGTGTATACAACATTAGGACAAAATCGTTACTTTTTAATTTATATCTTAAAAAAACTTTGTTATTTCAAAATAACTCAGGATCTCAATCACAGTAGAGTGTGTTCTGACTAGATCGACGTCATGGAAATTTTGCTGAGAAGGTAATAACCACCACCGTCCATCCCCGCTGCCCAAAACTTCAAACGTTAAAGATCGATATACAACTACCACGCTCGTGTATTGTGCGGTAAATTCTCTGACGACACTTTTAAAGTGCTTACTGACTTTCCGCCATGCACAGTTATCTGGCAGTGATCGCGAAAAACACAGTCTTGTCATTGCTTTAGTTCCCGCAAGAAAACCCCCAAAACGTTATTAATGATAAATGAAGCGCACATGCTTCAAGTTACCATGGTAACCGCATGTTTTCGGCATGTCGCTATCAGCGCATCTTGTTACTTTTTAGAGTGACAATACGCGAAGAATTTCACGGAAACGCGTGAAGTATTTCTCGGAATGCATTGACTCATCTAATGCTGAAAACAGATATTGTTTTGAGAAACCTAAGTTGACGGATCCGTTGACATCACGGCAAGACGTACACGGATTCAGATAAGGATGGAGAGTGTGCGCATCACCCTTTCCGTGAAGCATATACAAACCGTGTGCAAAATGTTGAAGGGGTGAAGGTCATACACTTCATGCATATCGGAATTAAGATGGTGAACGGACATTATGCATGTTATTTTGACATTAAAACAGTGACATCTATCTTCACCAAATCTCTGAATCGCGCTGGCAAGAGTGAGTTAGTGATTAAGGTTTTGCTCAACTGTTAGCAATATTGCAGCAATATCACGAAAGGCGACACCAGAAATTGGTTTCACTCATTGTACCCATAAGGGGAATCGAACCCGGGTCTACGGCGTGACGACGAATGCAAATGCTGCTATGCTGCTGGGGTGAGTGAGTAAGACCTAACGCAGCTTTAAACAGCGCTCCAGTTCTATCACAACGGGTCAGCTTAATGTGGGACGAAAGCCCAAAGTAACGCATGTCCCAGACGTTTACCATCTTATTGAAACCTACTAGCATGGCGCTGACAAAGCTAGAGGCAGAAATAGGACGAAACGGGATTCGCACCAATGGTCATACGTTTCTAGCGTGATAAAGGGAAACAACTCTGTACACTGAATTCCTACGCCTGAGTCAGCCAGTCCATTCATTTCCCATATTATACAGATGGTGGACTGGCGTGAAGGCTGCGTGAAACCAAAAACTTTATCTGTTCTTGGCTCAACCTTTTCAGTTCACCATGCTCTACGCATCTCTCAAGCAAGAAGACAGATGGGTTGGATGTGTTTTATGAAAAAAATAATCCGAGAACTGACTGACTGAGTTTGGTTTTACGCCACTTTTAGCAATATTCCAGCAACAGCAAGGCGGGGGACGCCAGAAATGGGCTTCACACATTGTAACCATGCGGGGATTCGAACCCGGATCTTCGGCGTGACGAGCCAACGTTTTAACCACTAGGCTACCCGACCGCCCCAAATAACCGAGAAGAAATTCACAGTACCTGATTGACGTATTTTTCAGATGAATGTATTGATACTGATGTCCCCCAAATGTGTTTTTGGGAACCGGGCTTTAGTTGCAACGAGAGGCGCCATCATTGTTGTTGTCAAGCTTGGTTGGGCGGCGGGTGGCATAGAGGGTAACGTTTTTTTGCTCGTAACGCAGAAGACCCGGGTTCGATTACTGACATAGGTGCAAAGTGTGAAACCCATTCCTTGTGTCCTCGTCCTGATATTGCTAAAGGCGGCGTAAAAGCTTACTCATTCACTCTACAGCTTGGTATCTTGACCAGCCATTCACTCTACAGCTTGGTATCTTGACCAGCCATTCACTCTACCGCTTGGTATCTTGACCAGCCATTCACTCTACCGCTTGGTATCTTGACCAGCCATTCACTCTACCGCTTGGTATCTTGATCAGCCGACTTTTGCTTCTCCGTGACGAAGGCTTGATGCCACCATCACGGGCGGAATTTATCTTGACCAACAAAGGCGGAATTGATCTTGACCAACACCGGCAGGATTTATATCAGGGAGGATATTACAGGGAGAATATATCTTCACCAACACAGGCGGGATATATCTTCACCAACACAAATTGGGTTTATCTTGACCAAGAAAGGTTGGATTTATATTGACCAACACCAGCGGGATTTATCTTGACCAACACAGGTTTGGTTTACCTTGGCCTACACCAGCGGGATTTATCTTGACCAACACCGGTTGGGTTTACCTTGACCTACACAGGACATGATTTATAATTCAGTCGTCAACACCATATATTGCAAATCTGCGTACCTGTTTCTT